GATTAATTCTATTTGAAATATCAAAATCAATAAATGTAGAGTTAAAGCTGCTTAAATTATCAAATTATTCTGAAAATAGTGAAATAATAGAATAATTCTGAAAATATTAGGTATAGATTATAAAATTTTTTGTTCCATTTACAATTGAATATATTTCGGTTGAATTAGGCATATAGGATTCAGCTTAATACACAATAATTGATTATGCATTTATTATTTTCATTAAAGAAAACTATTCATTATTATAGCAATCAACTAAAATTGAAGAATCTAAAAATAAATTGATGCTAAAACAATTAATTGAAGAATCAATGTTCAGAGTTTATCCAACTTATTTTAAGATTTCATTTATCCATTCATATATAATAACTTAGTTGTTATAGGTCAAAGCAGCAAAATGCGTAATATTTGAAGATATTGATTTAAAATCTATTATAATATTGATGATATTTACTTTTGCCTTCTGTTAGGTAAGTCTCTTAAAGAGTATTGATTAAATCTACATAAGGAACTTAAGAATTCAAATTACATGTCAATGATGATAATTCAGGTAGGGAACTAGTTAAATATAGAATTTCATTGATATAGAATTTAAAGTACTCTCCTTATGTTGGATACAAGGTGATATCATTCTCCTTTATCTCAGGTTTGAACATAGTGATCTTTTGGATTATCAAGAAAAAAATGATCATTTTATTTTAATATTTTTATTTATGAATTATATTGTCTATTAGAAGATTGAAATATAACAACTTTTTTAATACTAAAGAAAAAATATAAAATTGTATTTTATGTACAAAATTTTCAACGAATAATTTTAAATATTCTATCATTCTCATTGTTAATTTTAGTATATCATAATAAAGAATTAAGTTAGTTTTGATAAAAAAAACAAGGGATTTTCATATCTATGTTCCATTTGTATACCAGTATTATAATTAACCTATTTTAATATTTTATTTTTTAAAAAAAGAAAACTAGTTTGTTTTATTAAAAATTAAGGAAGGGCTTTTCATTTACAAAACTATTTATGTAATTTAAAGTCCTACTTTTGACTTTTCATAACAAAAGAACTAAATAAAAATTGCTGATTTTTTATACATAAATATTACCATTTACCTTATTATTTGCCAATGAATTTTGCATTATCTATTCTCGATTTTTAGTAATTCATACATGCTCTTTCAAATTATAGTTTTATAATTCCATCAACTTTTATACTTAAAAAAAACAATGTTAATAGAAAAAAAATCAATCAATTCAAAAATTTAGAATATCTGTTCTTCATTAAAGTTTATAATATATTGTAAAATCGGATTACAATTATAATGAAATAAAATTCAAAAACTT